TGCTGACGTGTCAGAGCTTCTGTTGAATCCAGAGTTGCTTCATTATGTCATTTTTTCCAACAATGTCCTTGCATCATCTGTAGTCATCATTCAAACCGTTATGCATGCAAAAGTAAGTATATTTATATATATTATATATATATAATATATATATATATATATATATATTATATATATATATATATATATATATATATGCTAGAAAAAAAGATTGAAAATTTATAAATTGGTTTTCTTTATTTCAGGCTAGTAAGAAGCAGGTGTTTCATGTGTTGACAGATAAGCAAAGTTTCTTTTCCATGAAAATGTGGTTCTTCACCAATAATTACAAAGACGCCACTGTAGAAGTCTTGAACATTGAAGACCTCAACTTACAAGGTCACGATAGAAGCATGTGGGTCCCACAAGAATTACGCGTCTCATTCCTTTCCAAAAGCAAAACGGAATACATCTCAGTTTTTTCCCATTTACACTACGCCCTTCCAAAAATATTCCCAAGTTTAACAAAAATCATCATTCTTGATGATGACATTGTTGTCCAGCGCGATCTATCAGCCTTGTGGGGCCTTGACATGGGCGGAAAAGTCATTGGCGGGTTGCAATTCTGCAACGTAAAATTGGGCGCACTTCATGGGTATTTTGGGAAAGAAAAATATAATCCAAATTCTTGTATATTGATGTCTGGGTTAAACGTAATCGATTTAGTTCGGTGGCGGGAACTTGATATTACTAAAACATATCAAAGTCTGTTACAACAGGTCTGTGTACTGTATACTGTGTACTGTATATACTGTGTAATGTGTACTGACGGTTACTTTTTTTTTTTTGACAGAGAGAGAGGGAAGGAAGTGGGGTAGGAGTAGGAGGAATGTTGTTGAGTTTTGAAGGGTTAGTTGTTGGGATTGATGAAAGGTGGGTGTTATCGGGATTGGGGCATAACTATGGAATTAGTAAAGAGGCGATTAACAAAGCGGCTGTTTTACATTTCAATGGAAACATGAAACCGTGGCTGGAATTGGGGATTCCAGGGTATAAGGTTTACTGGAGGCGTTTTTTGAATCGTGAAAATCGTTTCTTGAGTGATTGCAATGTGAATCCTTGATGTGGGAAAGGTATAATTAAGAAGAGGGTTGAATTGTTTTGAATGGAAGAGAAAGGAGGTGAGATGATGATCTTTGGAAGTGAGTGATGTCGGGGAGTAAAAGTTGTTGAATGAATTGTGAATCGGAAGAAGGGAATATCAAGAAAAGCGTTCTACTTTTTTGTTTGGGTTAAAGTAGGTAGGCAATTGATTTTCCTTACTTGTTTTTTTATTTTTATTATTATATTATTATTATTCACGATTGTTATAGTAGAGGATTTATTTGGGGAGGGTTTGTGTGTTTGTAATGAATGTATTTATGGAGATAGCAAATAATCGGAGAAGGGAAACTTGAAAACTGTGATGTATTTGCTCTTCTTTGTTGTAACAAGACTTAAGCGCAAGCGATTAGGAAGCTGTAATTGTAACTATTCTTGAATCTTGATTATGCGTTTTTTTTTTTTTTAATGCTTGTTAATGATACAAAAGAGATGTTCATTAAAATGTTGGAAATTAAAGATGTGAATTAAATCAATCAAATATGAATTCTTTCGATACAAAAGACATGTCTTACGAAATTAAAGTAAAATATCTTGGATTGTAAAAACACCAATTTATGTTACCCAATGATTATTATAATCTCAAATACGGAGTAAATCATATAGTTAATTAGTGGGGTCATTGATAGGATTTATGGTTTCTTCGATTTTGGGAACTTGGTTTAAAACTGTTCGAACACAAATCAAATAGAACTAAATACGATCATAACACAACCAAGAAAAAAAAAACCAAAATCAAATTAGTTATCAAATGAGAAAAACCAAAAGTTCAAAAACAAAATTTAAAATTTCAATTTAGACTATCTGTTCCAATTGTTGATCTTTTTAATTTAACTCAACTTAGAAGCTAAAAAACCTCATTTATGAATTAAAAATGCACTTCTAAGCACCTTAATATATGATTTAAAAAAAACATAACTTGGAAATATACTACTTGTGGTTAGTTGCATTGGATTCTCTTTGTATGCTTTTACAAATTGAAAATTTTGGAAGATTTGAAATTTTCCTAAAAAAAAAATCTTAATACATCTCTATGAAGAATAATAAAGATAATATGTGTGTGTGTTTGTAATGCAATTGCATACATCTTCGTCATGTTTTTAGTCAAAAAAATTGTTTTATGTCCATATTTTCGTTTTTGCATGATTCTTCATGATCATATTTTTCTCAAGGATCAACTATCATATATTAAGTGTTTCAATAATGCTAAAATAATTTCTATAATTATACATCAATCTAAACATAACAATTTTTATAATATTATGATTTAATTTCAAAAGATGGCAAAAAAAGGACTTACATCTAAAAGCATTTGTACTCTTTTTCCCTTACCAGCATCTTGCTAGCTATGTGGCTTTTTTTAATGATATTTGCCAGTTTTAAAGATCTAAAAGCATTTGAATTTTTTTCTAAACCTTAGCAGCATAATCTACATCCATTATATATATATATATATATATATATATATATATATATATATATATATATATATATATATATATATATATATTATGATTTAATTTTGAAAGTTTCAAATGAATACAATCGAAACAAAATATCATATTATTTTATGTATTAGTATTCAAATAATAATTATTTGTTCCTTTAAATGGTTTCACCATATAACCATTATAAGAGATCAATTAATACTTAAATAATAAACATAGTGTTCATCCACTTTCATGGGCGGTTTAGAAGGCAGCTGCACAAGACTTAATTTCTTTTCATTATATATTTTTATTTAAAAATACAAAACTATAATAAAGATAAGGGCCGTTTTTTTCTTGTTCTTCCTGACATTTAAGAATATTTCATTTTTCAGGATCGGTGCTATCCATTTTTCATTTACGACCGAAATGTGATTAATGAAAAGTTGGTATTGCTTTAGCATGCTATGATGATACACATAAAGTAACACATGCAAATATTATTTATTTGTTTATTTGCATACTTATTCTTCTCGCCTCAACTACATATGTCAATTATCAAAGCTATAGAAAAATAATACTTACATTATGAGCCGATACTTGGTACATACATTTGGAATTTCTTACCACTTAGAGCATCCACAATACAAGTAGTATAAGAGTTGAATGTGATAATGATTAGGATTAAATAATAGTTGAATGGAGTGTGGATGATGACATGAAGTAGGATTGAATGAAAGAGTTGAATGGTTTAATAGAAGAGATAAAATGATGATTAAGATTGAATAATTGTTTAATGGATTGTGGGGATGCTGTATAAATGTTTAATAGATGATATGATAATCCATTTAACTCTATAGAGTTCAATAGATTGTGGATGCCCATACTTTCTAAGTACCATCTCATCAAACATAATAACTAATTAATATCACATTAGAGGAAAGTCCTAAAACTTTACCCTAATTTACAAAAAAGTCATAAACTAAAATTTGTTTACGAAAAAATATGAATTGCCAGTAAAAATGACGATTTAACAAAATTTTCCGGTTTACTGGTTTCATTACTTACTTGTTTCATTAAAGTCTCATTATTTTATCATAATTTACGAATAAGTCTCAAACTAAAATTTAGTGATGATTTAGCAATTTTCTCCATCAAACATGTATTTTATTGGTTTCATTGCTGATTTAAACACGTAGTTATTAAATTAGTAGATAAGATGGTAAGAAAAAATAGGCAAAACATGAGCTGATGTATAATGAGATGGATATATTGGGTTAGATAAGATTAGATAGACAATTTAAAATTTCTTATAAACGTAATTATTGTAGTCTTCGTTGGATGCATTTTATATTCGAAAAAATATACAATATATCAAAATATCAAGTTTTATGGTAAACATAACATTATATAACCCAACATATACATCTCATCAGATCATTTAATGACTTGGCGTCCAAATCAACAATGAAACCGGTAAAATGTATGTTAAATGGAGAAAATAATCAAGTCATCACTAAATTTTAGTTTGAGACTTATTCGTATATTAGTATAAAATAATGAGACTTTAATGAAACATGTAAGTATAGAAACCGGTAAACTGGAAAAATGTGGTTAAATCGCAATTTTTACTGGTAATTCATGCTTTTTCATAAAAAAATTTAGTTTTAGACTTTTTTGTAAACTAGGGTAAAATTTTAGGACTTTTCTAGAGATTTCCTATAGGGGTAACAATTTATGACACGACACGACAAAAATACACGAAACGAAACAAAATCGGGACGAAATCAAATTCGAATTCGTGTTCGTGTCATGTTCGTGTTCATAAATTAACACGATTAAGCATGTGGTTGTCGGGTTTTTCGTGTTTGGCGTTTTTATCGTGTTATATATCTTTAAGTATGAATGAAATATACTAATAGTTATGCAATATTATCTTTGTCGTGTCGTGTCGTCGTGTTTTAATTGCTTCGTTTTCGTGTTAAAGAAAAAAACACGACATCGTGTCGTGTCATATTCGTGTTATACAAAACATTTGTGTCGTGTCGTATTAGACAAAAACATGACACGACTGCCCGATTTGATAGCCCTAATTTCCCAATCACATTATACCCTAAAAAGAAGGTATAAAAGTTTGAACACTATAAAATACCTATTTCATTAATAGCAACACACAAGTCTTACATTACATATAAAGGTAATGTACTTCCATCAGTCCAATAACCCACCTCGACCCAATACATACACTCGTATTTGGATAATAGATTGGTTGAATCTCAAAGACAATTACATAAAAATATATAGAGAATACATAAACCCTAATGGATTAAACCCTAAAAGGCTTGGGCCTAAACCCTAATCACTAACATCCCCCCGTAGTTTGATCGGGAGAAGACAATTAAACTAAAAAAAGAAACATAAAAACTAGATGAAGATAGTGGTTGCAGTGGTGGTAGAGCTCTGAAGATGACAACTAACATCGACTGCTCGTCAGAGAAGAAGCGGCAAATAGAGGTGATCCCATTGTATAAGAAGAGAAGAGTGACGATGATCATGCAACCGACATCAGATGAGATCAGATAAAGACAACGAGAAAGAAAGAGGGCTTGAGTTACGACGGACGGAGCCAATTCCGACGAGATTAACGTTTGCAATGTTGATAGAGAAAGAGATGACTGTATATCAGAGGCTGCGCGAAGGAGAAGGAACCATCAAAGGAAAGCAACAACAGCATTAGAAGAGACTGGATCGAAAAAGAAATATGGAGAAGGAACCATCTGAGGTGAAGGCAGAATGCTTAGTGACATGTGTCATACGAGGAGAAGGCAAAAGTAAGCAAGGCAACAAAAGAAGTGCTGAAAAAGTTTTGGTTTGGTGCCGACGACTGATTTATTATTTAGGCGGAGAATAGAAGAAGGAGAAAAAAATATGGAACATAATGAAAGCATCTCTGGCGATTATTAGAGAAGGTGGTCAGAGGTGGAGGGTGGTGGTTGCGGGTTGTGGTCAGCAGTAGTGTTTTAACCTAGAGCTCTGATACTATGTTAGATAATAGATTGATTGATACTCAAAAGACAATTACATACAAATATATAAATAATATCTAAACTCTAAAGGACTTGAGCATAAATCCTAATCACTAACAATATCAATACAAATATGGGTATTGTCATCACTTTTAAAATAGTTACAAACCTTATAAAGTTCAATGTTGTAGAAGACAAATATCAATGAGACCCATTAACATAATCCTACACCTTCTTTGCATTCTATGACAAGATTTTGAATTCATCGACTGGCGTTTTCTAATAGGGTGTATGTATGATAGGATTTTATTATTGTCCGATTATTATTTCACCCCCTCCCGATGTGTATTTTATGCAACCCCTATCGATTTTTATTCCACCTCTACAAACCTAAAACAAAACTAAACAACAAATTTGAAACGACATGACTTCTTCATCTTTATTGTTTATTTGATCATCTACCATTTTGAAACAAAAGCAAACAACGAGTATTGTTTTTTTTTTTTTTTTTTTTTTTTTTTTTGTAGCTTCTTCTAAATTTTGATATCATTCCCTACACACGTCTTTTTCTACCTCCCTCCCGATTAGGGATGAACATTTGGACCGAGGAACTGATCGGAATTGGTGCTAGAACCGGAACCCGATTGAACCGGTCGGGCTACGGTCGGGACGATATTTTTGTGGATTTTTGAACCGAAAACCGGTAGAACTGGCAAAAACCGGAACCGTATGTTGCTATTTCTCGATTACTTGTTCTAACATTGAAGACACGACAATAACCGATAGGAACCGGGAACCGACAGTCTGGTTCGTTTCTTAATTTCTGCCGACTTTGGTTCCTGGGCCGGATCCGGTTCAGATCGGTTCCAGCCGGGTCGGTTCCTTTGCTCATCCTTACTCCTGATTTCTAGATTCCAATCCGTACGAGAGGAATTCAATTTTC